GGGTAGAGCTCAGGCCTTCCCGGCTGTACTGAGCTGTCTGTCTGTCTGTCTGGGTAGAGCTCAGGTTTTCCTGGCTGTACTGAGCTGTCTGTCTGGGTAGAGCTCAGGCCTTCCCGGCTGTACTGAGTGTCTGTCTGTCTGTCTAGGTAGAGCTCAGGCCTTTCCGGATGTACTGAGTGTCTGTCTGTCTGTCTGGGTAGGGCTCAGGCCTTCCCGGCTGTACTGAGCTGTCTGTCTGTCTGTCTGTCTGGGTAGGGCTCAGGCCTTCCTGGCTGCACTGAGCTGTCTGTCCTGCTGCAGCTGAAGTCCAGTGGTCAATGCGATTTCTGTTTCTCCTCTGTGTTCATCAGTGGGGACTGTCGGTGTGGAGCTGGCTGTGAGGTGCCGACGTGTTCAGGGTGCAGTTCTTGAGTGGACCCTGTATTGTCTTGCAGTCTCCCCTGTAGCCCTGCGATCCTCCTCCGTGTTCCGTGGGTGTACTTTCCACTGTGTCCTCTCCTCTACCTGAGTCCACTTGAGCTGGGTTTCTGGGAGGTGGACAGCATAGTGTTGGACTCTGGTTTTCATCCCATAGGAGAATCTGTCTCTTGGTTTCGGTGTCAGACCTTTGGCTTTGGAGGTGCTTGTTGTGGGTTTACACGGACATGCCACCTGGGTACTTCAGGGGTGACACTCCACACGCCCCCTTTCTCTCTTTCCCTCCGTGCCTCTTTGGGGCTCCGTTTCTCCAGCGCCCCGTTCCGTCTCTGTGGGGCTGGTTGGCCCCGAGTCTACGACACACCTAACAGCACTGAGCTTGGGGACCTCACGAGGCCGCCTCCTCTTGCTCCTGCTGTCGGAGGGTGACCATTGTGGTGTAAACGTGATAAAATCCCGCCACACGTCACTGTTTTTGCTCTGGGTGGCGGGTCATCTTGTCACCCTGTACATCCACTTTCTCTTTGGCTTTTCAGTTGTAGGTGACACGATGTCTTTGTGTTTCTGTGGCGCTGAGGATGTACCCGGGCCTCGCGCGTGCCAGACGAGCGCTCCGTCTTCCCTTTAAGGCGCTCTCTGGGGCCGTCTTTTCCTCCGCTGTCCGGCCCTTGGCCTGGAGGGCTCTCGGACCCCCCGCACACGCCTCCTGTGAGCGGCCCCTCGGGGTTCCACTTCCACTTTGGAAACTCGGTTTGGTTCCTGCACAGGGTGGAAGGTTCATTGTCTCTTCTCAGCCAAACCTACCACGGGACGCAGAGAGCGGACGCCGCAGCAAGCTCCTTCGACTGGCAGCCACAGCGTCTCCTAGGAGAAGGGCCTGGAGCGCAGTCGAGGGCTTGGCCTGGGCTTGTTGGTCCCTGGACTTTCCTCCCCCTCTCTCCTCCCTGTCCACGCGCCCTCACTCTTACAGAGGGTGCTCCCTGTGTCCCCGCGTCTGCGTTAGTGTCTCTGTTGGAAGGCGGCGTAGGGCATGGGTGCACGGTGCCTGCTGATTGGGCCCTGTGTCCTCGAGCTCTTCTGTCAACCAAAGTGACCTCCTCAGAAGACCCCTCCGGGCTCCCTGGTGCGGCCCTGCCCGACCCCTCCCTCACCCTGGCCAGGCTGCCGGCCCTCTGCGTCTCTCCACCCTCAGCTCCACAGGGCGGCAGTTCTCAGAAGCCGAGTGCCTCCTGCCTCTGTCTCCTCTTTGGGTTTGGCCGTTGGGGCTGGAGAGCGGCTGCTCCTCCTCTGGGAGGACGTCACCGGGCTCTCTGGGCTTTGGGACGTGGGGTTTTGTGCTCCATTGTTTCTAGAATGTTCCCAGCTGTCAGCTCCTCACATGCTGCTTCTGCCCAGGTCTGTCCTCTTTCTGGGGCACGATGCACAGGGCAGTGTGGCTCACCGTTGTCCAGGAGGTCCTTGACCTTGTCCTTGTTTCCTGCCTCCTCCGCCTTTCTGTGTTTCAGTCTATATTTACCTGTCTTCAATCCAACGAAGCCGCACTTGGCTGCATCGAGGGTGGGGGGCCGTTGAAGGGATTCTCTGTGTGCTGTGTCCATCTGACTCTCTAATCCCCCTCGCTGCTGGACACCCCTTAGTGCTCCAGTCGCAGTGTCCGCTGCCTGTGGGTGGCCGCCGTCTGGCTGTTTGTGATCCGCGTCTGCTGGTTGCTCTGTCTTAGGCCTCGGAGGTCTTCCCCTTGCTGACCTCTGTCTTATGATCTTGGGCGTCAGACCCCAGCACTGCTCCTGGGGTGCGCGTGTCCCTGGGCCGTTGTTCTCACAAGAGATTTCGGGCAAGACGTGAGACGTGGGGAAAGAAGAGGAGAGAGGAAGCCAGCACCCTCAGGGAGGGTGTGGCTGGTCTCAGAAGAGAGCGACAGCCCCTGTCCCATGTCCCAGCTTTTACTGGGAATTTTAGGGGAATTTCCCAGAGGGTCTCGCGGGAGCTCCACATCCAAGTTCTTGTTGGCGGGTGTATCGCAGCGGGCTGCAAACTCCCCAGTATGTCATGTTTCCTTTGTGGGTTCCTGACCCGGACTGTGGGGTGACAGGTCACAGTCCCAGTGAGACCCTGGGAAGGACCCAAGGGCAGCTTTTGGGGGGGTCCTGGCTCGGCGGCAGGTTCTCTCTGGAGCTTGTTTTACAGACTTTGTGCCAGCGTCTGGCCAGGGCCATCTGTCTCCCCGAGGGGGGGGCCAGCCCACTCGCCTAACTGCTGGGTTGCCCGATGCCCACTGCCTTGGTCTGGGCAGGCCCAGGGCAACTTTGAATGATTGACTTCACAAACCAACTGGGGACGGCAGGGTTGCCCCGCAGTGACGTTAGCCCCGGTCCCCAGGGAGGAGCCTCCGCAGACTTCCTGCCCCCCCCCAGAGAGCAGCCCTGCTTGGCTTCGGTGGGCAGAGGAGGCGGCTTGCCCTCTGTTGGAGGGTCCTTTAGGCCTGTTTCCCACCCACCCCTCAGGGGAGAGGGTGTTTTTCCACCGTCCCCCACCCTCAGGGAGCCTCAGGAAGGGGGTGGGACACAGATTCAGGTCTCTCCCCCACCAGGGACCCTCTCGTCAGCTCAGCCAATGGGATGAAGGCTCTTTGAGGAGTGGCCACGGCCCTTACCCTTGCTCTTTGAGGAAAGGACTTGGAAATACACGGAGACAGGGAGCAGCAGGGAGGCTGGTTTATTAGCTCACGTGGGCTTAGAGAAGGCCCCTGGGGCCAGGACTGCCCGGGGACACGCAGGGCAGGGGCATCAGCACCGTCCTCCCGCTCTCGCCCCCAGTGCAGAGGGGCCACTGGCCGTGCTTTCCACCGTCCCCAGTGCTGGCAGGGTGCAGGGGTGGCCGCCTGCCCTGGGAGCAGCTGGTCTGTGGCCTGGGGTCAGCAGCAGGCAGGGGTGCTACAGGAGACGGGTCTGCAGAGGAGGGTGGGGCAGGGGGGCTGGCAGCACCCCGAGGACTGGCAGCAGGGGGCCACACACACGGAAGGACAGCAGCTCACGGGAAGGCACACGGAGGACTGGCAGGAGGGGGCCACACACACAGTGGGCCTGCAGCTCACGGGCGCACAGCAGGCCACCTGACATCTCACGGGCACACACACAGTGGGCCTGCAGCTCATGGGCACGCAGCAGGTCGCCTGGCAGGGGCTGGGCAGGCAGCAGGCCGGCTGGCAGCCTGAGGAGCAGCTGGTGTGGCACATGGTGGCTGAGGCTGGCTGGTGCTGGGGAGGAGGTGGTGAGGTCTGGCACCTCCTCCCCTGGCAGCCCTTATATGCTGGCTGGGCGTCCGGGCAACACGGAAGCTCAGCCAGGTCTTCCTGGCTTGCTTCCTCGGCCTGGGCCACGCTCACATGGCTGCTGTCGCTGTGGCTGCTCTGCTTGGCCTCGTGACTAATGGCCCCTTCC